GCCTTCTTCAGAGCCGCTTTCTATGAGGTTTCCACTAAGTATGTCATGTAGAGACCAACCGCACAGAAATCACGTGGAAGTATAATGAAACTATAAACTATATTATACTTCCACATGATTTCTGTGCGGTTGGTCTCTACGTGACATACTTAGTGGAAACCTCATAGAAAGCGGCTTTGAAGAAGGCGAAATCCGCCGAAACGTCAGCTTAATCGTGAACAAAGAATAGTAACACCTCGCGTTTGCTCAACAAAAATACGAAGAAAATCACTTGATCAATGCCGAGGTTAATAGAAAGTCGGTCGTGGCAGTTACATATTGATTAGTCACACCGAGGTTTAGAGAAAGTCGGTTTCGAAATGTTATTGAAGCGTTTGGCCTAGTAGATTGTATATCAGTATAGCCTTCCAGGCTCTGAAGAAGGCGATACTGCCGAAACGTCAGCTAGCGTTGTATTGTATTGTGTTTTTCTATGGAAGTAAATGTATGCTGTTTAAAAACCTCGCGATTGCTGAACAAGAAAACGACGCATTCATATTCCAGAGAAAGTCGATCCTGGGAAGGAGCACATGACTTGGGTTCTCCTTGTCTCAGCCTGCCATGTCAACTTACCCCTTTAATATTCCTCACTAACACTTTGTTTCGCTCACATCCAATAATCAGTTCTGAATTATTTGTCGAAATACCGCTTACAACTTCCATAATGCTGTGACCTATAAAAGAGATCCTTGTAGTAACTTTTAGTCCACTAAAGACTTTGCTGAAGGAGTTTATTGTCGGAATACACTTAGGCGTTCGCAATTTACAATGAAGACAAATTATTTTCCTTTCATTTAAAATTTTCTCTAAGGTGCCGCAAACTCATTTGTAGCAAAAATAATTAAAGGATTAATTATTATTTATTAACCTAAATTATTTGTTAACCTCGTGTAAGCTTATCAAAGGAAGAACCCATGTTAACTAGTAATACCGAGGTTAGAAGAAAGTCGGTTTTGAAATTGTTAACTGATAATGACACCGACTTCTGAAGGATTAATTGTACGGGAAGAACAAGTTACCATCACTTGGCAATCACAACTATCAACCATCAGCATCCTGCATGAAAAGGCATCACCGAGTGAGTATGCCTCATTCGAGAGATGGTCCGCTGAAGAAGCCACAACTCGATACGAAGGCGAAGACGCTACATCGAGAAGAAGAACGGTAGACTATCGACTCGGATCATCGACTCTGATGAAGACGAAGACGTCGAACGTTAGCCGAATAACAATTATTTGTCAACCTAGTGTAAGCTTATCAAAGAAAGAATACGTAATGGAAGAGCCTTTTTAACTATTGAGCTTTTCATTGATAGTTGTAAAAGCCTGTCGTTCTTCACCATTTCTCATTCAAAAGACTTAGGAAAATCTTACTTACTCGATGCCTAAATGGCCCGTCCTCACTGGTTGTGCATGCCCCAGCATAATCTGCATTTTTCGGAGATCTGCTGGCTAAGCCATTATGGTTCCCTGGAGTCCCGAAGTCAGCCTGGCCAAAGTCTGCCCTAGGCCGCCACCACCCCAGGCAGTCGTCGCCCTTGTGAATCAAAGGGAGATTGGCCACCATGCGGCTAGGTTGATACCACGGTGGTAGTGGATCCTAGTACTGGTTTACTCCTAGCTGAGCTTCCTAATGGAAACGCCGGACTCCTCAGCTTGGGAAACTGTTCCGGGGGACGAATCTCCCGCTGTACATCGCAGCCCGACACCCAGGAACACTTCCCAACCACGATGAGTCGGTAAAGCTTTAGGAGGTACTTTAAGAATATATACAAGTCCAAATGTCAGACCCACCATAGAATTCGGCTTCCAGCCATGCTTGTATGATCCATCGGTGTGGTGAAAGGTGGTTGTATGGTATCAGGGATTCGCTTGTACTCGGAGGTAAGACGATCCCCGATGTTAAGTAGGAAACAGTGAAAAACAGAACTGAAATATCCATCTTGAAAACTTATTGAATTAAGGGAAAACACGATACATATGGGGCGTACGTGTCCAAGAAAATGCTGTCGTAGTGCTTCGGCACGCATAAGCGAAACCTTGTGAAATCACACGCCATAGAAGAAGGTGAACGAACATTATGAAGATCAGAGACAAAATCCACAGTCGTTGGGCTTCTCTCGGTAAATTCATCCCTTAAACTAGGCCATGGACAGGAAAATCTCTAGAGAAGGACCACTGAGAGAGTTACCAGTAAAGTATGGAAGTGGTGTAGTGTAAAGCACTGTTGTAACTATGAGTATTGGAACATCCCAGGTAAGCTGAAAATTAGCACACGTAAGGATATAGCAGTTGCAATATTCCAAATGCTTAATATACCTTAAAAACCAGAAACAAGAATAAAGAAGTAGATGAACTCCGAATATGCTGATTGATCATGCGTTTCTCATTTGTCACTAAAAGCTAAAGCACTGAACTTAAGAGGAAGGTATTCAATAAAACCCTATTCGGAAAGGATCTCGATAAGTTTTCGTTTCTGGACCAGGCCTCGATTCATATATTGTGTTAATTTGTTCCAACGTTGCGCTGATCGTTCACCTTTTTGGATAGCGATAATTGTCCAAGGAATTAGAGCAAAATACGAAGTCGATAGGGCAACACCTATGCGGTCGTTCACGGCAACACGTTTATCTCTGGTGAGAGAGAAGAAGGCGAGTCCGATCAGACACGACATCAGTACGGTAGCCAGCTGTTCTTTGAGGCTGGCAAACGGTTTGTTCGTGAATTCATACCAATTATTCCTGAAAATCGTTGTGAATGACGTAAAACCTGAGATATTTGGGTTAGTAGTAATGTTAGAAGCATGTAGTACTTACATAAAAGAAAGTCAACTTAACCACAACAATTACAGAATTTGAAAAGCGTAAAAGATGCGTAGACGTAGATGTTGGATAACAACGATGAAAAAGATGAAGCTTTCGGCATTGATCAATCCCTAAGAAATGTGCCATGTATTAGACTTCACCAGACATCGTTGGAGGTGACTGAATGCATATCTAGCCTTTATCCATTCGTATCCATTCGATTTTATCAAGTGTTGTAAGCGTGACTAAATGCACATGTGACCTGTGGAATGACTTGTGGTGGCTAATTAGTGCATAAAATCAGTGTATTTATGCTTCTAGGCAAGTCCAGTACCAATTTGTTGACCTCACAAAGTTACAAGGCTTGATGAACCCGGGGTGAAGGACTGAACCGTTGACCGAGCCAATGTGTACTGCAGGGCACCTCTAATGATTATGCCACACGCGACTTTGTATGTATTAGATCAAAATATTGCCACAACGAAAGGGAATGGGTGAGGTTTTAATAGTGCAAATCGCGACAAGTGGATTTTGTGGAGAATGACTTCATGTTTAAAAAAGAAACAGTTATTTTAGAACACTACTCACAGAAAAATTTGAAAATTGATTGAAAACTGAAAATTGAGAAAAACTGACTTTGAGATTTGTATTACTCATAGGCATTCACTAGCTGAACACGGTGATATTTTCGAAGATAGTGGGAAACTAAGGAATGCGGCTAAGAGAAGGCGGAGCAGATGTCGAAGTGATGAAGAAATCGACAAGAAAATGAGAGAACTGTCTTATTTATGTGAAAAATAAGTCCTCTAGCTCCATATTTCGTATTCATTTCGAAAATGTATCAAGAATACCTGTAAAAAGTCATCAGTATGGCCATCACCGATGGCTTGCATACCATGGGCAAAGCGGCGATGTTTGGATTTGTAGGATGCAAAGGTTTCGACTGCTCCCAGCACTCTAGCAGTTTTCCTATTCGTGCTGATGACTCTGCCGCAGCAGCTTGAAAGATGTGGTCATGAGTGGCCATATCCACTGAAGCGACATCCTTTTATTATGCATTTAAAAGCTGTCTATCAAGAAACGCTGGTTCCAGTGACTACGTCTGGACTGCAGCTCATAGCTTTTCCTATTACGCAAATTTTTCGAAGAAGAGCTAGTCCGACTTTTCTTTCTCTTGTTCCCATTAAACAGAACTTCATTGTGACACACAGCTTACCGTAAAATTCGCACGGATTCTTGAACTTCGGGCAAGGGAAGCCGATTGACTCGAAATACTGCGTGATTTTTGTTGCAGACTCGAAATAAACAATGCGACCAGCTGTTAGAAGCGCACCTGCAATTCATTTAGGGAAACCGTAAAACGGATAACAAGGAATAGTGGTGACTAAAACTACAGGACCTTTTTTAATTCAAGCAAGTAATAAAAAGGATAAAAGAGATAAAGCTCTCAGCGTTGATCACTCCCTTAGGGTTGCGCCATGCATTCGACTTCACTAAGCATCCAATAACTCTCGTTTGCCTACCGATCTATCGAGTCAGCGTTGCTGTCCTCTCAGGCAAATCTGGTACCAGTTCGGCAACTCCGCAGGGACGGAGGAAGGGTTGGTGAGCCGTGGAAGCGGGTATTAATCCCAGGTGTATTGCAAGGCGTCTCCAACCACTGCGCTGCGTTACGAGCAAGCAATGAGTTTAAAAATTCCACAACTTCGTGGATTTTACAAACATCTGCAGAAGGTTCATAAAACTTCTAGACTCCCATTCCATTAATGATTTGATATCATTTTGTCCCGGCAAAACTCATCAAAAGCTTTCCAATAGTAATTTGTTATATAGACAAAATTAAGGCTTACTGTGAAACATGGGTAAGAGGGTAGTGTAGCGTAGTGGATAGAGGTGCCCTGCAATACGCATTGGATCGCTTTTTAGTTTGTGCTTGGCTCCCGGGTTCACGAGGCCTTCCATCGCTACGGGTTCGGGAATTTGTGCCAGATGTACCTGGGAGGATAAAAACAGCGACTCGATAAACCGGCAAATCATTGTGCAAACCAGATATGCATCCAATAAGGTCTAACGATTCTTGATGAAATGGCATGCACGACGCATTACTCAGGGATTGATTAACGTCGAGAGCTTTATCCTTTTTCCTATACATAAGGGAACAATGGCATAGCCTTTTTTTGGCCTTTTAAATATGTAGAAGGCATTAACTCTACAACATTTGTAGGACTCGGACGGCAATGATGGAAATCATGGAAATAATTTAGCTTTGCCATTTGTACTGCAAATTCTTACATTTGGAAAACATGAGCAACATATCGAAGGACGATGGAGTAATAGCCATTATGACGACTCTGTTGAGCTTTATTGCCCAATCCCGCAAGAAATCAACCACAAAGGCCACCTCGTAGACGTCCATTTGTTTGGCGATGTCGTCGCAGAGAATAATTTCTAAAAGAACGTCAGAGGAATTTCTTGACGGATTCGCTGACCTTCCTTTTCAGAATTACCTCTCCTATTGTAGAAGTCAAAAGGAAAGTGTCAGATCCTTCTAGTCTGCATCACAAGGAGATCATATCACAATCAGCAGTGATTTATTTTAGCCTAGTATAGCGTTGAAAAACATGTATACGCAAGCACGAATGCAAGGGAATGACAGTGGGCAGGGTGTTGTGAATGTTGGTTAAAAATACCAGAACAAACGCAATGTGGAAGCGATTCAAATCCATTATAAAAATCAGAGTCTGAACAAACACGAATCCACGAATCCCATTAACAGTGTACCAGAAAATGTCTGGTCTTCCAACAGCAATCACCTTAACCTGTGAAAGAACAAAGCATAGGTGGTATGCAATAGTGAGACTGCTTCAGACACGCGAATAAACGTAGATAGAATTAGTCGAAATCGTCGATGTTACCACTGAAAGCGGTTTCTAGCTACCATAGAAATCGCATAAAGATAGCTAGGTAGGAGTGTTCTGTTCTTCGCATAGATTATTACATGCCTTCCCATGAAAATTTCTGACGCTGTGTAACAACCGCTGATTGGCTAAGGTAAAGATGCAGAACGTCGCACAAACCACTGTCTTTGAGAAGCTGCTCGGCGATATTCAGCCTAAACGCTTCAGCGGTCGTCAGACGAGAACATACGACATGTCGAAGGTAACCGATTGCCAATGTTGTCATCAGTTGGTCGATCTTATGGAACAAAGTCAATCAGATCTTTGAGGCAAAAGTAAATGATGAAGGTGAAATGTTTTAATGACTGGACTGATAACAATTTAAGCTGCAAGATCTATTGTACTCGTGAAAACTCACTAGAGTTCGTGTAATTTAAGCGATTAAGCATTTGGAAGGAGCATTCTCGTAAAGACGAGATTAAGCAATTTATGAGGAACATTCGCCTTAATCCAAAAGCAGAAAGACACACCGTGCTGTAAATGCTGAAAGTTCGACTGAAAGGTGAATGGAGTTCTGCGGTGATTCTCAAGTATTGGACCACAGTTAGTGAATCCGGTAGGTCCGCTAGTGTAAGATGTGCTGAAATTTGTTGACACTAAATAGAATAGGCACCCCATCGATTCTTTTTTCCTCGCTCCGCAGCTTTCCATTCCAAGCTTAAGAATGAGGGAAGACAAATAGATCACCTGCTCTGAGAGTAAATTGCTCCAGCTGCAGTTTATGCCCATATATTGAAAACTCTCCGGTAACCTGAGCACCAGGTGGTGAATCACCACAGAGTACGTCGAAAAGTGCTTGCACCTCAGTCTCTGGAATCCAAATAAAGAAACTCAGTTGAGTAATCTACACAGCAATATTGGTAAGCTTTTGCCCTAGATAGGCATTGAGAGCATCAGCATTGTAAGGGATGCGAGAAATTTGCATGTGAGGGTCCCCCTTCAATAAAGCTATCATGTGCTAAGAAAGCCAGTTTGAAACCAAGTTTTCGAGTTCTCTAAATTTAGGTTCATCACAGTACTAGTGGCTGTATTTCATTATTTCTTCCCGTTCGTTTTTTCTCCCTCTTCATCTAGTGAATGCTCTACCTTAGAGGCTACCACCTTTCAGAACTTCGATTTATGACGCATTTACTTTCTCGTTATTCTTTATCATTCAGTTTTTATTTCGTTGGTTTAATGGCTGTTTCTTAGACACTAATAATTCTTAAAATTCTTTTACACAACTCGCTGAAAACACGCAACCCTTCATAAGTTCTGCAATCAACGTACAAGCTGTGTAAATGTTACTCTGAACAAGTTAAGTGAAGTAGAACTCTCTGAGGTGGATGAACAGGTAAAAATAAGCACTCACTGCTGACATACATGAAAGCCGCAATATCGCCTCCACTTAGGTTAAATGACACATCGCGAAGCTGAAAAATGAGTGAACACTAGGAAAACTCTAGAAAACCAGCCAAGAAGTTCACATTACTAAGCGGGGCTGCTTCGGTATTCGCCTCAATAGTTGACCCCAACGGTGACATGGGCTCAAAGAGACGGTGAGATGTGATACCGAGATGGACGGTCGTGCCCTAGAGTCATTTGATATGATATGTAAAAATGGAAACAACAGAGTGAAACTGAATACACTGAAGATTTTCTAAAACTTCGAGTTTCAAAGCGCGGCGCTTATTTCTACTTTTGGCAGATTGCTCTACGCATCGTTTTACAATTTTTATTAAAGCGCTTCTAGAAGTAAAAGAACGTCTTTAACTGGTACCCGCTATTCTGCCTTGATTTGCTATATCTGCTGTAACCGAGGTGATTGTAATCGGATTGATGAAATTGGTCTCCATTAGAGACTACGTGCCTCGCTATCGTATCCATCGGTTGAGAGATTGACATTCTGAAATAAAGCGCACATATGTAAAATAAAATGTTCTATGTCTTGGAGTTAAGACCATAATTTTTTTCTAAAGCTTTTAAAACTGATTAATTTGTCAGACTATATATTACCGACAATCAGTGTCCCTAGTATATGACACTAGATGGCACATAGAAGAAAACCACACCTCTCCTCTGCAGGTTTCCGTTTCTTCCGTACCTTCTGCTGCTGTCTGAGCGCTTGGTATGATATTGCTGAGTAGACCAATTTGCTCATCTCTTTAATAAGAATGCTTTGCCTTCATAAACTAATTCCTAAACTCATTCATAATTCAAGATGGTCAAGAAAATATAGAGTTATTTTGGAGTTTACTGCCATAACTGTGTAATTCTCATGGTTCAAAAGCATTTGGTATCAACAGTTCCATCTTCCAGACATGGAAATTTTTGCGCTATTAAACTCCTATCAAACAGGTGTAATAGAGCTACCTTGTGGAGCTGCTGGAAAGTTCTCCTGTGGTAATCTTTGTAAGCAAGCCATGTCGTAGCCGCGCTCCTGGCCTTGTGGTTTAGCTTCAGCTGAACGGAGATCGCCGTATATAACAGCGATCATAGTGAAAATCAACTTCCAATTTAACTTATGAATTATTCGATCCTAGAGAAGAAATCAAGGAAAAATTTCTAAACTGCTTCGAATTCTATAAAATGGAAAAGCCCTTTGAAAAGGCCGCTAATACAACGAAAGCAGATGGAGAACTGCTTAGCAAACTCATAATAGTAATATATCATAGTAATAAAAAGTAACTATGAATGCATAAGCATTGTCATTTCTGACAACGGGGCCGAGTCGTCAAATTTCTGGAATGTGAAATATTCACTGACTCTTATTAAGTTTGTTCCTTCAATTTCTTGAAGAAAGTAATGACTTTTCAACGATAACCTACAATCCTTTGTAGACCGACAATATCAGAAACTGGACTCTGCTGGCGTTTCGAAGTGAAGCGATCTTGAATTTGTGATGGGAAAGTGGACTTTGTCGAGGATTTTGTCCGGTTTCATATGACAATTGCCACCAACGTGAAGGAATCCTGTAAATAATGGCCTAGGACTCAATTATGTCTGACCGTCATACAACCCATTTTCACGCACTCTGGACAGATTCGGCCATCGTTTGCCCAACCTTCAGTTCATCTTGTCGTTGCAGTGTGCAGAAAAATCTGTTGCGAATAACGCTATTAATGGTGAGAACACGAGCTCGTTTCACAGCCAACAGCCTACCGCCGTCCTTGTCTATTCGATGAAATCGCTGAAGTTTCTCATAGTGACTTCGATTAAGTAGTCATTTTCGAAAGCCAAAATTTCCTCTTGGTTTTTCAACCAAAGGAAATTGTAATCTGTTGTCTAAGGAAATCTACCTAGTCTTTGTGAATTTCGTAACGAAATAACATTACCATCAGTTGTGGTTGTATTTCGCTTAGTAACCTGCCATGAAAATTATAGAAGGCAGAAAACAAAACGTTAAACATTACCATCAGTTTCCAGTTTCTAGTTTCCCATCGATGAGGCAAAAACCACTACGCCATGTCACATTTCAAATCCTAACACTATATTCCTTAAACATTTCTAAGGCTTATTATGTTAGGCAAAGTGAGTAAAAAAGCGCAAACAAAGAAAATAATATTTTATGTAAAAAGGGTTTAGCGTCACATATATGATCAGAAGAATTCAATTATTACCCGATTTTTCTTATCCCTTCATTCCAAGTTTCCGGGACAAAAAAGTTATGAATTTGTTGAAGCTTTTTTCTTTTTCTTAAGAGTGAGATAAACTGACTGTACCTGCCGGCCGCATCATGATGGTCTCCTGTGGGCTGTGAATAGATTGCGATTGTCTCAGTCGTCCATTTCATCTACTCTAAAGTAAATAATTTTAATAATAAAGGTGCACCTTCACGACTGTTACTCAGCTAATGCGGAGGCTTCCTTGAGGTGGTCTTTTTATGGTAGAACAAGGCCTTTATGTGAAATGTATTCTGTATAAATACTGGCTGGTTCCAGCTTGTTTCAAGTGCACGACACTTTAGAAAAGGCGTTTGAACTTCTTCGGTTTTAATGACATTGAAGAAAAGTAAAAACTTGGAAAATTCCATGACGAGGCTGAAAGCGGTGGAAATTAGATTAAACCCAGCCATTTATGTAATTATCGTGACATTCCAATAGATTAAGAGGCTGGGTTAACTTTTTTAAAGTGTCAAATTCACACCCACTTTCCTTGTGTATGTAATCGTATGGATGTGTGCGTGCGTGGATGTTCTCCCTGGCATGGTACATGAGCATGTGCAGCCCGCGCCATACCTCGGCGAGCTTTTCGTAGATATAAAATTCCATATATAGCAGAGACAGTAGAGTTTATTCCTCTGACCCAAAAAAGTTCCTTCACAGCAAGGTAATGGAATGAACTAGTACCGAGGCATTCCGAACCCAGTCATGGGGTGGCAACATCTCGAACGACGAATGGTAACGGTGAGAATCGATGTGGTGCTCTTCCTCGATCGATTCGACAGATTAAATAATCAAAATAATCCCTAACACCACATGACTTCTTGACATTCTGCAAAAATTCGGCTTCTCAAAAGATTCCAATCTCAGGCTGTTTTTCTGAATATGAGAAAACAAGAGGTTGTAAAATGTGGTATCCTCACCAAGACGAGTTGAATTTATCGATCTTTTCGAACAACTAGCGGAATAGGACGTACGTTTTGTAATGGAGAGATACAGAACAATTCTGGTTCCAGTAAACCCCATCGCGCACATCCTAGAAGGTGATTTCACCCACAAAAAAGTTTCTATGTTGAAACGTAATTACCAAGTTACATAGGTCGTAAGCAACTACCAACTTAGAGAAGTATTAAAGTTCTCCATAGGCAATGATAAAGCATGTCTTCTAAACGATAATAGCGCTAGCTGAAGGTGTATAGGTCATAAGGACCTTTCAATGGTTTCACCTTTGCCAGTTCTAAGAGCAAAACAACTATTCCCCTACGTTGGAGCAATCGCAGTACCCCAAACGAATGTGGGAGCGTCGTCAAGACTTGACTTCTACTCAGGTCTGTTTGACAGCGTCACCATATCACCCTTGTTGCACCAATTCGGGGTTGGTGAACTTGTCATTGTAGTTCCTCTTCTCTCAGAAGTTAGAGATATCTTGCCATGCCGTCATTGAAGATTTGTGCAGAATCTAGTTCTTGATGCCTGACGAGCTCCTCTTGAATAAGACAGGTTGGAGTTCTCAGGATCGACTTTCTATTAACCTCGGCTTTGGAATTCCAATGCCGAGGTTAATAGAAAGTCGATCCCGGGAACTATTACAAGATGTACCAGCAAAATACTTTCGACAGGTTGGAGTGTTAAGTAAGCGCAATATGCTGTTATTTCACATATTCATCGACGGGAAGAAGTTCTTTGACTATTGTTGAGCGGAAGTATTACGGAACCACTCGAAAATCTGAGCGTCCCTTTTGTAAATTGCTTACATTCTAGCTAGTGTTTTGATTTCACCACCTCATTCACAACTGCAAATAATCTCAGTCGAGTGTGCACAGCAGCTGCTTTTGCGATGTGGGCCTTCGTAGTGGAGTCCAGTTGAATAAAGTGTTTAAGCAGTTAAAGCGACCTTTCGCAGCAATTCACTTTTGCGCAATGGAGCCTTGTTCATTGTGATGAAGCACAAATTTATTAAGATTGTTGTGTTTAGAGTTCAAATCGAATGCTAATTGAATTCGTTATAAAATATAGGATAGATGAGGAGCAAGAATTTCTTCTATTCATAACTTTCAGATGAAAGAAAAGAATACTTCGCTGACTTTCTGTATTCGGTATTCTACGAAGATCCTCTTAAATTACTTAAATAATTAGTACTTCGGTGAATCAATTAAGTGACCACTGGGAAGTGAGAAGTTTGGCAAAGTGAAGATGTCTATGAATGGTCGATTAAGCACTACGATCTTAGTTTTGTGTGAAGGTGAGAAATCCTATTTCGAATCTGAAAGAACGCATTGAATAAGATTTGGCTAGATAGTTGGTTGTGAACTGGACAACGAGCAATTAAAGACGACCTTGATGGCTCAGCTCAGTTCCTCGTCGCCGGTTGCCTTATTTGTCTACATCTACGATATGTACCAGTCTAGAATTTGGCCTATCCCCCTAATAATTTTTTTCATTAGACACATCACACTAATTGCTTTTGTCTAAATCTATCTTATCCCTGTGGAAACAGATGTTTATCAAAGCATCAAAAACAACTTGGGACTGAAGCCGGGCAGCATGCTTCAATTCGCCTACGGACGAGTGATAAAATCGTTGCATCCCGCTCTCTTCTGTGCTTGCGATAAATCTATCTTTTTTCGATAAATTTATTTTCTTTGTATATTCAGGTGCTTCTAACGTTGATTGCTATTGTGAGGTCGAAAGACTGGCCTTCGTCTGGGTTAGACAATCTATGGCAGCTACTAATAACCATAATGTTGCTGAGATATTTTCAAAACTCCAGACCACTGGTGTCTGCTGGAGGGACCGAACACACTATTACTCTTTCCGGTGGCTAACGCGTTCACCACCGCACCATGCGAGTCCTTCGTTTCGCCTGTCTCTCAGCCGTTTTATTGGCCTATAGGCGCCACCAGCAATCACCAGCCTACGAAATTGACCTGGGGAGCACAAATCGGCAAGAACCCAGTTTGCAGGTGTTAATATTCTCCAATTTTCAGATTGTAAAAGATATTCAGTAACGGGTGCTCAATTTCTACTCGAGAATCTTTTAAAGTAAAATAACAGGTTTCTGTCGTATCTCTGGTCATCATCGTAAGAATAATGCTGCAGTACCCTACGAATTTGCTTTTATGAGCATTTTCAGCTATGATATTAGCGTTTTCTCTTCATTCAGAAAAGTTCTCCTTGCATCGTAGGGCTTTCAATAAGTCGAATGCTCAGCGGCAGCTGCAGCTCTCACACTTTAGACGTTCGAAACATCACTTTCAGTTGTAATGTAGACAGGGAGTCGACGTAAGTCATGGATGATTCGCATTAATTTTTATACCAGCACTAAAAATCTTACATTCTACTAAACATGTGTGCAAATCCAGTTTATCCATCCACCTTAACTCAAGTGATGTCAAATCAAAAGAGGTTACAGGTTCGGTGGATTGCTTTCGCCACCGGATGTGATACGGGTTCTTCACGATATCTCGTTCGTAGCCGTTTCCGGAGGAGTTCATGCAATTGTTGGTTCTGCTGGTAGGTGACCCTTAAGTATGAAACTTGTTGGCTCGTACATCTTGAATTTTTCAACGCAGCTTACAGATTCCTATGCCTAGGAAAAAGGTTTCACCAGACAATAACGTCATTATACCAAGCTCAATTTTTTTCTAACCACAATATCTACTTAGTAAAAGCCTTTATGTACCAATAGAAAAATCAATTTGCACGTTGTTATATGTTTAAAAAAGTAGAACTTGCTTAATGCTATTTCTACAACACTTTTCAAACGTCAAATCTCTTGCAAGATCCACTGAGTGAAATTTTCCAGATAGTGGCAAGAGCGTTTTGTTGGAGGTGATTAGTCTTACTGCCAATGGTGATACTGCAGGAGTTGTAAAACTTGACAAGAACGCCCTCACCCGTAGGTTTTACTGTCTTTGGATTCTCTCCCGGTTACCCTTGCAATGAACGTTGTCTTGGATGAAGACCAAATTGGACTCTTCGTTGAGATTGCGAAAGGTTTTCTTTGTGTTCATTTTAACTGGTCTACTACAGTTTTTCTCGTATTTTTCCTATTCCTGATTGACATTGGAGGACACGCCAAATGAAGAGCCATTAAAGTTTATTAAGTGATCAATAATTCAGTGCATTAACTCAATCTGTGGTGCGAAATTCTATAGAAATTCACAGAAATTCACTCCGAAATATGTGTCAGCGCTTCAAAAATGAATTTCGTTGTTACCCACGCCTTTTTAAGAAAAATTTTTGCTCTTAGCGCTTAGGGTCAATTTCTACCCACATGGCACAAAGTAACAGACGCTTTCAGCTTTAAACCAGCGTATCTCAGCTTAAAAAGAATCTTATTAAGTGCAATAAAACATATTGTGCATATGCAAATCATTATCCAGAGGTAGAGGCTTTTTCGTTTTCCCACGATGGAACTCTGATTGTTTGGAGTCTATCATACCTATTCTGAGTAGTAGCTTTTCTCCATCCATGCCCGTGCATTGAAAATGAATGCAATTGAAATAGCACTTTTTCTTCATTAGAACATGATGATGTTACCAGTTTCGTTGTTGATACTTGTACCTAGCATGATTTCGTTTCGAGTTTCAAGAACATTTCTAAAATATCATAGCCACCTTCAAATAGAGAGGGAAAATTCTCTTCTATAAGCCGGCCATGTTCTCAACTCCTTAAATAATCTAGTTATCGAAAAGTCTTTACCACTTTGCGTAAAACTAGTCTCCATCCTGAAGTGTTGGTTATGCCTTCAGTAGTTTTGATAGTTTTTCCCAGAATAGATTCCATGGTTACTTAGCAACAACTTTCTTCATGCATTGAGTAGTTTTTCCTGTTCTAGGATCATCACCTTCGATGAAACCAAGGAATGATGGTTGAAAAATACATTCCAGCTTTTCCTAATTTCTTTATGCGCATGCCTAACTAATTCATCGTTGTCGATGAATAATGATGAATGAATAGGTGAAAAGGAAGAGGATGAAACAACAAAACGAAAATGACCTACATTGATCGGCTTTTCTCCCACTAACTAATTACAACGGATGAACTGACCAAAATAACAAGGTGACCCAAAAAAGGTATAATGTGTCAAAAATAGGACATCGGCTGGTTCTCTTCTTTCAGACTATTCATCTTTGAAAAGTTATCAACTCAAAAAAGAAGTTAGGGCCATTTCTGCTTTTATTTTTGCCATGTTCAGGAAGTCGTTTCCAAAGGTGCTGCTCTTTTGTCTCTGGAAGGCAGCGATATCCGAGCTACACGTCTGTACGTTCGTTCCTCTTCTATACAGCAGCATTAAAGTTTGGATGTTCTTCTTCAGTGGAAGAACTAGAGGAAAGGGTAGGTGAGCTTTCACTGATGGCGTTTCAGTATTTTGGCAGAACCACAGTTTAATTTCGTGAACTTTCCAAGAATTTTAAATCCTACTCTATCACTCAACTGCCATGTGCGCTGGGATTTTCAGCTTGACAAACTAATGCGAGAATTTGATCTGCTTGAGTACTGTGATAAGAAGCTGAAGGATCTATCTGCAGGTGCCCGAAGACGAGCGCTCATTGCAGCAGCGCTCGTGAAGGACCCAGGTAATATTCGCTTTTTAAGAGGAAACGATATAGAGATAGTAATACTTAAGAAAGTCGACGCTAATTGACAAACTCCAAAGAATTACTGGTCTTTTACATCTAAATTCTTCAATTTTCTACCAACAATCTTTTAAATGTGAAGAAAATACCACCTTTCAGTTTCAACGCAATCCGAGGTTAAACACGATTTGTATTGTTCAAACTCTCTTTGTGCTAAAATCTGTGCAGTGTGAAAAAATTGATTTTTTGAGTATTTCTTTTTCCTATTTATAGGTTTTCTTATGCTGCCGATAAAGTTTTTCCCATATAACTTTGTTAGTTGCTTTCCCATTAGTTTTTTTCCTTTTCATTGCTCCAGAAAGGATAAAAAAACTCTCAGCTTTCATTAATCTTTGAGGGATGCGCCTTGGATTCGATTCTATTAAGCATCGTTGTAGGTGACTGAAACTGAATGTATATCTGGCCTTTACAATGACTCGCGGTGGGCTATCGATGTATCGAGCCAGTGCTGCTATTCTCTCAGACATGTCTGGTAGCAAATTGCCGACCCCGGAGGCATGGAAAGCTTGGCGAGCCATAGGCGTGGGAATCGATCTCATGTGTGCGTCGTAGGGCACCTCCGACCACTGCCCCACACGCGCTCCAATACTTCATGTCAAACAAATTTAACACTCATACCCTCAGCGAAGCTGGATATTCGCAAATGGTGTGCAAGGTAACACTCATACCCTCAGTTAAGACTTTATATTCTTCCTTTTAAATAAAACTCGCTAGTGTATTTTTAACAATGTTTGCGTTAAGAGGAGAAGCCGTTAAAAAATTTATATGGAAAGTTTTAATAGAAAATCGCGAAAGAAAGCCTTTAAGAAAAATTGGGATGTTCTTCTATCTCTCTATAGTATAAAGAATCACAAGTACTTTTTTACTTCCGTTATCTTTACAAGGACGGGATATCTATTACTCTGTAATGTAAACGTATATCAAATTAATAAGCCAAAGTAATTAGGACATCCGCAACAATATGCATTCATTTCAATTCGCATGTGGAGACAAAGCAGAAAAGGCGCACTTATTTCCATACGTTTTATTTTTGGCTTGTTTTCCGTAAAGAGGTTTCGTTACACTTCTTCGTACGCTGTTGGCAGACCTCCCTCTTCAAGGGTTTTGTTCCAAGTTTGTTCTTGAAAAACTTCTATTTAAGGCGCATTTAAAAAGTCAGGAGAACTCAGGTCATATCAAAATTCTACGTAGGAATTTGCTCCTAGGCTTTACAAACACTGCTTGAAGTAACGTAAGTGTTTCAGTATTGCTAGTGGCTGAGGACCCATGCCATGGCTTGGAGCCAATAGCGTGCTTTCATCTAATGCAATGTCTCCATAGTTATGCTGTTGAGAACAACCGAATAGTTCTGACATCACTGATGTCTCCACGTTCGGATATCTGTGAAATGATCTCGGGACTAACTATACTCTTCCGTGGTCGTGTTTTCTATTCAGGTGACTCTTTTTTCTATATATGGCTTAAGACTTAAGTTATTGCCGACAGTGGCTTTATTTTAATTTCAGAATTTATTTGCTCAGAATACAAATCTTTAACCAACGAATTATTCACCATTGTTTTCATAGATAGAATACCACTTATTACTTCTTGAGTGGATGCTCAATCCTGTTCTGCTAACAAGAAAGAGATCTTAACCTGAAGAAGTTTAGAAAAGAAGTGGAGGCATTTAGACATTTTTAAGGTCGTTGACGTGTATATGACACTTTAGGATTCCGAATAAATACACCTGAATTCGCAATATCCGTGCTGTAATGCCGCTGGTGAAAAGTAGTCCAACACAAGTCCTCAGTTCTTCGTAGGTCAACTAAGGGGCACCAACTTTGCGACGTGTTGCTTTTTCGTATTCTAGATAGATATGACTGTAGCAGTTAGTGGAATACCGAAAAGATCGAGACTGATGTGATGCTCATGGAAGAGAATGCGCACGAAACGATCATCAGCTTTCTATTCAGAAATATTCACATATGGTTTACTCTTTTCAGGTCATATTAAAAACTTGCCAAATTATTTTCGTCGTGTTGGCCTAGTCTGTCCCGACAATGAGAACCCCGCAATGTATTACTGTGAGTTTGAGCTCGTTAGATGTTTCGATTAATCGAAAAAACGACAGAAAATCTTCTTTTCTTGTCGTTTTTAAAAAATTATAGTGAAATCTGCCATATTATTAGGTCGGTACAAAAGAAACGCTTCTTGGATTACAACTTTGAAATGTTACAAATCAGCTCGGACTTATATTTATTAGACGAAATAGAAAAAGGACAATGGCGCTTTCGTTCCCCACCGCAGGCACCTGCGGTCCGGAGTTTTGCAAACAACTCAGCAAATCTTGTGGAAACAGAAACCGTTTACAATCTGTAATCTTGAAGAACTGGGGAAAATTTTATTTAATTTTTTTTACAGCTAGCACGAGGTTCTGAATTTCTAGGAACGACGGGTTTTTCGTAAGGATTTTTTGCTTGGTCTTGGTTGTTGAAGATTTTATGAGCGGCTAGTGGTTATCATGGAAGAACGACCCGATTTGTTCTTCATCTTCAGCACTAGTTCTACAATGGTCTACTGTTGTTAAGCAAGAGCACCGGGCTTTTCTATATGTATACGGCTGCCAGGATTCCAGACGTTTCATTAGATCATTTCATCCGCCTTGAACAAAAAACTCGTCGCAAACCATTCTTTGAAACAAATTCGACTTCAGAGATGTTTACGAGCGTGCTTCCAACTACGGTGCTAGCTGTCTTCGACGGTAGTACAAAATTCATGCTTTATCTCATGTGAAGCATATTGACATTTTTCGCAATGATTCTTTCCAATATCCTCTAAATGACAAACAATTGATTGGTTAAGTGTAAATTCCTTCTCAACTTCCTGAATCTCAGAGGGTCAGTTTCGATTAGCCCTTTGAAATGATCGTTGTAAAATGTTGATGGGTAATCACAACATTCATCATCATCAAGATATTTGTCAAATACGAAATTTCCAGAACTATCTGTTCATTGTGCATTCAAAAATGGAAGCTTCACGTCGACGCGTGACTTGATGACTTTCTGACTTGTGATTTTCTTCGTATTTTTGTTGAGCAAACGCGAGGTGTTATTATTCTTTTTCACGATTAAGCTGACGTTTCGGCGGATTTCGCCTTCCTCAGAGCCTCTTCCTATGAGGTTTCCACTAAGTATTTCACGTAGAGACCAACCGCACAGAAATCACGTGGAAGTATAATGTGGAAGTATAGTATAATCACATTATACTTCCACGTGATTTCTGTGCGATTGGTCTCTACGTGACATACTTAGTGGAAACCTCATAGGAAGAGGCTCTGAGGAAGGCGAAATCCGCCGAAACGTCAGCTTAATCGTGAAAAAGAATAATAACACCTCGCGTTTGCTCAACAAAAATACGAAGAAAATCACTTGATCATTGCCGAGGTTAATAGAAAGCCGGTCGTGGCAGTTTCTGACTTGTTTTCGGATCAGGATAGCCATGTTTGAGCCCATAAAAAAACGAACGCAATTCTCTTGCCTTCAGATTATAGCTTGAGCCAGCCTAAAACATTAATTAAGTGCTGGAAGTTCATAGGAGCAAAAACACCTTTTCATTTTGTGCATCCTAATAGATCTCTAAATAGGAGAACAATAATGATTTCCTCCATTTTTTGCAAAAAAAGAAAACGAAGTGAAGTACTGTATGAAGTAATTCAGTATCCAAAGCAACGATAAACTACCAGACACCGCAGACGTACGAAGAAACGAAGATCCGGGCGATGCAGCTGGTCGACCTCTTTAAGGTTCTTCCAATTTATAACTGTCGAATACTGCTACATTAGTACAAAAACAGCTGTTAACGATGCTGATGTTATTGTTGATAATAGTGGACTGCAACACAGTTCCATCGACAATGCACTGGCAATCGTTAAATAAAATGTATTTCTTAAACAACAATAGGTTTGCAATAGAAATCGGGTTGTGACTGAATTTCATGACTGGACAACAAGTTTTGCGCTATCTATCTTGTGAACGGTTTTCGAAATATTGATAGATGTGACCAAGTCCCTCGTTAACTTTAAGTTATTGTAAATGTTACCATGTACTATTGTGCATCAGGTTCAACTTCATCCCTTCCTTCTAAGGATCCGTCAAGCTTATCAGTTGTTTGTCAACTGTCAGTTGCTCTTATGACCAACAAAAAGTACTTCCTACAGTTCAGCTGTGTTATCCTCGTTCTGTTTCTTCACGTTCTGGTCATGAGGGCATTGGTGAAACGATCCCTTTATGCTACATCAGTCGTCCATCAAACGTTAGAATATCTCTGATACTAATAAGGTTAGTTACTACTTCTAAAGATCAACTTGCAAAGAAATGGAACACTTTTCAAATGAGCAAGACTAGCAGTAATGCGAAATGAATTGCAGACGATCCTGTGTTGTCATCTGTTCAAACCGTTGCCGTCTTCTAATCAGGATTTCTGCTCTGCCTGGTTTTATGTTATTTCTTTCATTCTTCAGGTTTTTCATCATTCATCTAGCCATTCCTAAAATTTTAATGGAAGAGAAGAGATAAAATTGCAAACAAGCAAGTACCATTTTAGGATAAATGAATAAGTTGAGGATGTCACATTTTCCAGCACGAACCTTCTCTCAGGGATGTGGAATTCGCCGTATATTGCCTCGCGGCTTTTCGAGGTTGCTGTTCTAGCGGTCCATGTAATCAGCACTTTCTTATGTCTGCTTTGCTGTAAGTTTAGGAAGTGATTAAAGTTAATTATTGAGCTTTATTTTGGGGAGCAACGGGATAATATCCATTTTTACAGTTCAGGCACGTTGACGTCCATTGTGTCTTCAGCCTAGGGATTGTTAGTAAATCACGTTTCCACGTGAAAGAAAAAAAACCACAGTTGACTACGATTGCTGTTTGAATAGGTAGCACAAGGTAAAGCAGAATATTTAACGGGGCTTTGCAGTTCTTTCCAGATCGTGTAAAACTTTCTGACTCTGCAGACTATTGGAGCGAAAACTGACTAGTCATCCCTACACTTTGTGCTACAGGCAGGCGTTTCACAGTTTTTTATCCTTGAAAACCTTTCGTCTTCCAAAATGCAAACGAGGATTTTGTAAGCAAATGGCTCCGCTTCTATGCTAGTGTTCTTTGTAACTCAGCTTTCGGCATTAATTCAATCTCGAGAGATATACCATTCAACTTTATTAATAATTGTAGAGAAGATTGAATGCACATTTGGACTACACAACGACTTTCGGGGCTCACCGATGTATCTAGACGGTGTTCTTCTCCACGTTGACAAGTCTGACAACAATTTCCGCACCCCGGAGGATTGCGGTTCGGATAGCCTGAAATGTGGAGACCCAGAAAGCCCCTGTGGATTGTAGTGCAGTTCTGGAACACCTAGGCATTGTCATAAGAAGAGAAGTTGTGATAATCTACTGGTACTAGTACAGAATGAATGTCCTAAAATATTTCTTATTCCTGTCCATCTTTTGCAGGATTTCTGTCTAATGCCACGTGAACTGTCATAACGGCAGAGATTGAAAAGTTACACCTTGTTCTTATTCATAAATGGGTAGAAAAGATTTTCGATGAAGATTTGGCATGAAATCTTTAAAACCCAAAAAAATTGTATGGAACAGGCATGCTCAAAAGTAACACAGCATTTTCGCTCTAAAGTCCAATTTCTACGTTTTACGCTATACAGCAACTATATCGCTCATAGTAGAAGTCCATGTTTAGTTTCAAACTTAAGTAAATAATGCATACCAACGGTTAACCTCATCATGGCTGGGAGGTGTTCCTAGCCGTCGGGCTGCGATGTACAGCCTGGAGATTCGTCTCCCAAGCTGAGGAGTCCGGCGTTTCCAGCAGGAAGTCTAGCTAAGAGTAAACCAATACCAGGATCCACCACCGTCTTGGTATCAAAGTCGCATGGTGGTAAATCTTCCTCTGATCCACAAGGGCTGCGACTGTCTGTCGTGGTGACGACCTGGGTCAGACTTTGGCCAGGCTGCCCTCAGGATTCCAGGAAACCACAATGGCTTAACCAGCAAGTTTCCGAAAAATGTTGATTATGCTAGGGCCCACACAACTAGTGAGGACGGGCCTAGTGAGAAGTATCAAGCAAGTAAGTAAATAATGCAGCAATATCTTCGTGGTTACTATTTACAACACCAACAACTTTGTCATGGTCGTTTTCAGATCCATCGAAGACGTTTTGAGCACTTGCATGAAGGTAAAATTTTATTTTATTTGTTTATGAAGCATTTATTCCTTGCAGATAGCGACTTGCGATCTCTCAGTTATATTGAGTGTTTCGATGGTCTATACAATAAATTTTGGTCTTCGCTCGCATACACCTTTTCCATGTTTGGCATAGACTTAACATCTTCGCTTCTCTCCGCGTTCATATTATTATGGTAAAATTTTTAACAGATATGCTTCTCTAGTTGTTATGTTTAATAAAAATAGATTTATGAATGAGAATAAAAGTGTAATGAAGGTCAAATCTGCCTGAAGAAAGAAAGCACTTTAAAATTTTGATGCTACGATTTCATAGCGCCAGAATTTTCGTAATATTCCCTTTCCCTTTTCTCACACATGTGTTCACTCAATGCAATCATCCATCAACAGGAATTGAGGCAAAAGAGCAAGGGCTTCAGTTGGAGTATTGGATTGAACGTGAGTCCCAACAACGGTAGTCGTGGGTTCAAAGCCCAACTGAGATCCCAAATTTTGCTTATGTCTCGGCATCGTTGTGATAGTATTTCACGCTTTGCATAGTTCCAACATCGCACTAGTCTATATTTCAAAACTGTGCTTTGCAAGAAAAAAAAATAGCGGTAAGAAAACACCTAATTTGATCAGGGATGTGATGATTCGTCCATCGATCAGCTATCAAGAGTTTCATGTAATCTTTTCAGGATGTCGAACGTCAGGTTACCAGGCGTTATGCTGAGCACGTCGATGGTATTTCTGTGTGTATTCCTCTCCGCTCATTTTGTAACCATGACATCCATGGTTTTCGTGAGGAGTAGTACTTCATGTTGTGCGATTTCGATTCTCATCTTGTTGGTATGGATGTTGTTCGGTGGAGGATTACTTCGGTAAGCGCCTCACATTAGTAACACAATAGTGTCTAAAAACTCCTTAACGTTCCACTCTACTCATACATACTCAATTCATGTTTTCTAAAGAGTGTTTGAAAAAATAAGTGCTTAGTTAACCAGGTAGTTAAATATGAGAACTCGAGTTTTCCCATTGAAAACTTTTTCTTCCTGAGGAGCAACCACGCTGTAAAGCATGAACATTTCGAGATATCCTAATCTTACTTACTCACTTGACACTTGAACAGCCCGTCATCACTATTTGTGCGGGCCCCAGCATAGTCACCACTTTTCGGAAATTTGCTGGTTAAGCCATTGTGGTTCCCTGGAACTCCTAGGGCAGCCTGGCCAAAGTCTTCCCAAGGTCGTCACCACGAGTCAGTCACCAGCAGTAGCAGCTCTTGTGGATCAGTGGGAGATTTGCCACCATGCGACTTTGATACCAAGAGGGTGGTGGATTCTGGTATTGGTTTACTCTTAGCTAGGCTTCCTGTTGGAAACGCCGGACTCCTTCTCACCTTGGGAGAGTATGCCTTGGGGACGAATCCCTCCGCTGTAAATCACAGTCCGACACCCAGGAGCACCTCCTAGCCACGATGAGGCGGTAAACCGTTAGGAGGTTTCTTAATCTATAGAGAATAATTCAGTTAAAATAGATTGGTAAAGTTAATTTATGAAGGTTTTGAGTTTAACTTTCCTGCAGTCCTGTGTTTTCAATAAGCGTTTCCAGAAAGACGAATAATAGTTACTAATTTCTTGGGCCATCGAATGGAGTATAGATTAAGGATTACGAGGCTGGTAGAAAGAATTATTCAGCTAACGTTTCTACTTCTTCGTCCTCCGCAAAGCTGGATTGACCCTAGTCGATGATCAACAGGTGGCCGTCTTCGCCAAATAGCTGTTGGTTATAGCACAGAGTCGAGTCCAGTGAGATGGAACAGTGAATAATCCCACACGGCGGTGTCTCCTTACAGAGGACAGATGTTGATCTATTGCCGGGATTCAACATGATCTGGTTTTTTTTTTACGACAGTACTTTCTACAGAAATCGGTGGCATACCAGCTGGCATGTGGCTTAGCAATAGGTCTCCCAAAGCCGACTTTTATTTTACCTCAGTGTAAATAAACAGTACCTTCTTGAATTAATGAACTGACACGAGGCTAGTATAAAATATTTCTTCGGCTTACGTTTCGAAATTTTTGGTGTTCTTCAGAATCGGATCAGATCAATCCGTTCTTTAGGTTTTTTCGTTAAGGTCCATTTTAGAGATGAATTACGTAATAAGAATTGGACAGATTTCTCGCCAGTTGGTTTTCACCTTATGTCACTGTGGAGGATGATACGTGGTTGACAAAAGTCTAAAGCGTCTGTATAATTAACGTGGTGCAAGATGTTCTCATAAGTTGGGCTTCTATTTCTACTGTTACGAAGCCACTTATGCTTTCTGCATGCAATTAGTCATACTCACGCATAGATAGGTGCAGCTATGGCTTCCTTCATGTGTATTTTATATTTTACCTCGATTCCAACAATGACTTGAATTGAAGCTGCTGGCAGGTACGTATGAGATGGCTATGGACGGTTCCCACCAAAAAGGCGAAAAATTCTCAAAAAGAACATAACTTACTTACTCTTCGTTTGGCGACGTTTCTTGGAATGCATAATTAGATTTTTAGTGTGACTTGTAACATATAGTTCAGAGTTGCGATGTTCTGTCCTTCTCAGAAGTTCTATAATACCAAGTAATCAAACTCGGAGAAGTGACAAGAGTTCACTTATGGCTTGGAACGGCGCGACAATTTCGCATGACAATTATTAAAAGCTCTCGTCCCATTTTATTTGTTAATGCTATAACTGTGCCATCAGATTTTTCCTCGATGCACGACCATCGCTGATAGCACATTGACTTGAGCTGGCCGCACTAAATTCTCTTCTCCATTCGTTTCTGTCTCGTGCCAGAGTATTCCAGTGGAACCTACTCACTCTAGAGGTTCACTAAGCATCACATCTTCCTTCTAAAATTGTATAAAAAAATTTTGGTTATCGGGTGCTTGCCCTCCTCCCGCTCGTTTGACATCTTGAGAAACCCAGTCGCCAACGGCTCTTGTCCACCGGTTGTCGTTTATAAGTATTACATGTTTGGCACATCTTATCATCGACAGTTCGGAGAGCACAACACCGTTTTTGTTACTTGGCCATTGGCATTGGTAGGATAATATCTCTCGCTTGCCTGTTACAGGATAATCTCAGCACCGTCCTTTCGACTGCGCATTAAATAATAAGTGATCTTTCATACAGCTAACGACTGGGTCTCTGATGCTTACATTAGTGAAGGAAGAACCGTGGAGTCAAAAAGTGGACATGGAGTCTCGTATTGCTCTCTTCACTATATTCTCAATGCTTTTGAATGGTCTCGAAACAAGCCTTTCATCCTACTCAGCCTTCGAGACAATCAGTTCACCGTATTTATCTCAAAACTTGCACACACGTTGCTGAAGCATTCGAAAATATTCGCTTCATTGAGCTTAGCCTTGATGTCACTCTGAGATCACCTGAATCAATGTATGGTCTCTTCTGTAAAACTTATTACCCTTCGTACATAACCCTTCGACTTCACCTTCGTCATATTTCAAGTGGATGCGCAGACAACAAACGCTGTGAATGACAGAACTGATCCACATCTCTTTATCTATAAGAGTCTGATTAGACTTAACAATTGTTTGAACGAGTCGTTATCCATGGCCGAACTTATGTCAGCGAGACCGCCGACGCGGCCAATACCTCTGCTGTCGCATATTCCAAGGAAAAGTTCTTCTCCGGTACCGTAGGGAGCGTCAAATGAGCAGCACGCTTTATGCCACATCCAGTCCTTCCCCCTCTCCTGGAATGGCCCAGAGATTTTATCCTCTCCGTACCGACCTACCTAGCGGCAATGTATCCGAGGTTTATTCGGAGACAAAAGCAAGCCGAATTTATTCTACCATGTTTGGCACACACACATGCACCCATGCGTGCATTCCTAAACATGCGAACGTGGACACAGAAGGTGTGTCAGATTGGTGAGGAACAGACAGGCTATCTATTCTGTGGATTCACTTAAGTCTCAGAAAAAAATACCGTCGACTTTGGTCTGCTTTAACTTTTATGGAATGAACAATAAAAAGTAAGGGCTTTGCAATAGAGCTTGAAAGATTTTACCTTTTTTAAGAAGCAACAGAGCCACAGGTGAAGTGTTCACCGTCGGTGGCTGGTTAGAATCCTCTACCGCGGACTCATAAATTTGAAACTGTGAAACAGTGAAAAAACCGAGACTTTTTTTGGGCTTCTGGAAAACACTTGAAAACGCACTGCCTAATTACCAAGCGTGGTTGTCCGACTCCTTATTTCGTAACTTTTGCCGTCCCATGACATAAAGCATAATGTATTGTCGTTCCTACTGTTGTTGTTATTGTGACCATTGCCGTATATGTATTATTGTCAAGTCCGTTTAAATCGTTTTCTACAGCCGTAACAAACAAACAAACAAACAAACAAACAAAACATTGTTTTTTATTTCTTTTAAACTGTATTGTAGAAGTTTTGCCTGTTTTACGGGAATTTCACTTTTTTAGGTCCCTTGCAACAACTCCTTTTGACGGACCAGCAAATATGTTCTGTGTTAACCCGATTCGATATGCAAATTTCGTTCTGGCTTTGAAAATCTCTTCTGAACTTCCCATTTATTCATGTGTTAGAAAAGAGGGGAATGAAATCGAATCAACTGCTGTGGAGAAGTTTTGCAGGTGTCGTTTTTTTTAGGTTTTCTGTTGTCTTAGTGAGAGGCTTTTAGGATTGACGTTATTTATTTCAGATGGACGAACAGTACAAAATATTTCGAAGAGGCATATCCGTCGTCGGTGCAGTCTCTCGATTACTGGATCAACATGCTTATTTTGGCAGGAATAGTTTTCGTCCTTTTACTGGTCACCTTGGCCATCCACGCAATTCCACAATCTCGACTAGTTGTTGATAAATTCAGATTTACAAACTGATAGAGAAGATAAAATCTGCCTTATAATAAAGGTTGATTCGGTGCACTTCTTGTTATGGCAGTTTCCTCATGAATTCGTTTCGCTAAGGTTGAGACGTCGATCTGAACTTCCATCACTTGCAAAGACTAAAGAGCGGGAAATTAGCTTTCAGGTTTCGCAGATGAGACATCCAATAATTGAAGGGCGCCATGGAGTGAAAGATTAAACTCAGAGTAAGTTCATTGCTCGAGCAAAATACATCAAAGAAAATGTGTAATAGCAATTGCTCCAACAATATCTCTAACAGCAATGAACGAATGTGATACATCAGAATCTCACGGGCCGGGAACAGTTCGGCATTTCTTTCAGGATTTCCATATTGAAGTAAATCTTGCCAAAATCTACAGTTTTCACTGAAAAGTAACAGTATTTTTTTCAGACGTGTTGCAGTTGTAATGAAGAACTTGCGGCATGTTTAGCGTAGTGGTTGGACGTACTTTTTAATACAGACGTCGTCATTGGTTCGACGCTGTGCGCTCAGGAAACTATACAGTGTTATTAAATTGTTACAAATTTCGTCTCATTGGATAAAACACTAATTTGAACCATGTAAAAACTACATCAAATAATTGTATATGAGAGATACTTATTACATCACAGATGCCTGAAAATGGAGTATCAATAAAAGATTGTTCAAAGTCGGAAGTTTACGTCTCATCCTTACTACCACAGCAGAACCCTGGGTAAGTTATTCATAACAATTTCCTTCGTCAATGACATAAAAATAGAACATCTTTTCCTAAAATTTAGGCTGTTCGTGTCCCTCTAGTAAAGGTAGCCCACTCCGCAGCTATATGTCGTCACGATGGGTGGAAAATGGAGATTTTAATAGTTTCCTTTCCCTCTCATGTTAATCGCCATGGTTTGTAGGTAGCACTGGTGATACAAGTGAATAACGCTTTGAGGTCAAAATATGTAATTTTCCCTACTTCTGTTTAGCAAACACGAGGTGCTATTTTATTTCTTTATTTACGTACAAGTTAACGTTTCGGCGGACTTCGCGTTTCTTAGAGCCTCCTCAGGTCAAGTTGATTGCAATCTACACGGCCAAACACCTCCATAACCAAACAGAGAAAATGCTAAACCAAAATGTCAATCACATTGAACAAAGAGTCTTTGCACACTCAACGCTTTCTATAAGTCTTTCACTAAATATGTCTCGTGGAGACCAATCGCACAGAGTTCACATGGAATCATATTGTACCCATCTCATCAGAATAACAGGTTTGTTTACTGCCCAACATCACGGGCGACAATGAGGCATTCCTCCCTGCGGTTCATTTTCGGATTCTTGGAATTAATCCAGAATGCCTCCAGAGTTTTGCGCGCTTGTGTTCTCGATTCCTGTGCGGGATGGTAACTCCTACATCAAAATCGTCCCCGTTATGTCTCTGCGTCCTATGCGCGCCTTGCGGAGTATTTCGTTCAAGTTCACCAACTAGGTGTTCTTTTATACGTACGCAGAGTGGTCTACCCGTTTCGCCAACGTATTGGTCCCCGCACGCTTTACAAGAGATCAGATAGACTGTACCCGAACTCATGCAGTCACCTTCTCTACCATTGGAGCAAATTATGCAATTTTGCGTTGCACATAGACGGTCATATAGGCGGTTACGAACTAGCTGGCGCTTAAGATTACTCGGTGGTATTTCAACTACGTTTACCGAATCCTCTAAGCCCGCCCTTCTCAAGCAGCGTTTTATAGCTGCACTTACTTCATTTAAAATAAAACGCGGGGTAAACTGGACCCTATCGTCGCTAGAGTTATCGTTGGGGGCATGTGGTTTCCTCTACACCTATTCCGAGCAACAGTTTCGCTGCCATTAAAAATGGCTATTTGCCGCTCCAAGTTCTGTGATTCCTCTCTCTGCTCTCTTCCAGTGCACACGTTGGCTGCTGCTCAAAACATGTTTTTAATGAGCGCCATTTTTGTGTGAGAGGAGTGAGAGGAAAGGTAATGAACCAAGATGTTTTTACTACTTGGCTTTCGGTGCCACTTCGTAATGTAACCATTTTCTAACAGGTGAATTTGAACGTTCAGGAATGGAAGCCATTTATCTTTCGGCTTTTCTCGGGTAAACTTTATATACTCTGACTGCTCGTTCAACAATTCGAAGCATTTGTCCATTTGCTCTTGTGTTGAGCAAAGGACAAAACAGTTATCTATATATCTACAGTAGAGTAGCGGCCCGAGGTCGGTTAGCGGTGCTTCAACCTTAAACATAAACGCAATGGCAAGACTTGATGCCAGTCGTTGTCCCATTGCCAGCCCTCTCATTTGTGCGTAACACCTCCCTGACCATCTGAAGATTGAGCAGTTTGGGCGCACCTTTAAGAGTGTCATCAACTGCTGAATCGAAAAGCCGTACATGTTTATTGCTCCTTCGTGTTGTATAAGGAGCTCGCGGATGGCTTGCATAGCGGAGTCATTCGACACGTTTGTATAGAGAGAGGTGACGTCGAAAGACTCCACGTACGCGTTGTTGGTTCGTGCGTTACGTAGATGATTCAGAAACATTTGGGTTTTCGTTACTGAGTAAGTATTAGGGTTATTAACCACGTTATTCTATCCGTTAACCTGTCCACGCAGCTAATGATAGGTTTGACCTTAAATAACGATGGATCGGTAAGCCCGAGATCATCGCCGAGTACTAACTTACGGGTTTTGATAAGTACAGAACGCTATCAACGGGCCATTCCAACAATTCTGGTGCCTCGGCCGCTTGAAAGGATCCGTCGGGTCAAGCAAGCCGCAACCAAGTGCATTAACTCTATAATCATGTCCAAACAAACACTAAAATGTCACAAGTGGATATTTACGCCGTATAGCAACCAATTACAAAAGGTTCTAACGAGCTTCAAAGATGCGCAATCACAAGAAATCGGTATTCAAAATCTGCAAGACAAGGTAACGCCCACCGTCGTTCGCACAAGCCTACAGTACTTAGAGGAATGAGTGGCAGCCCTAAAAAACATGACCAAAAATATTCAACACGCACTGGACGAACTCGCTACCATATTCGAAAGAGTACGCTCGACGCTTCCAAACATTGAAGACGAGTTCGCACAATATTCGAGTTCCGCTGAAGAAGCCATTGGCAATGCTTTCGAATACCTTGTACTCCTCCATGCTCGGATCCATAGCTTCAATGCTCACGATGAGCTTCTGAACACATTCCACAAACCCTCCTCTACAAACAGTGGGAGTCGTGAGAAACCCGGAGCTACCTACAAACCCAATCTCAAAATGCAATAGCGACATATGGGCTGGCACAACTTTTGGGAGCTTTCAACCTAAACGTACATTCACAAAATCTTTCCGAGCTACAAAAAGTCAATTACCTGGTTAGCTCCTTGAAAGGGGAACCTCTACAATCGATTAAAAAGTTCCAGCTCACTAGGCAAAACTATATAAAAGCCATAGAATTTCCTACTAATAAGTACGGTAATTCTGAAGAACTTATTCGCTAGCTCCTCAGAAAGATGGACAAAATCTCGCCTCAGTCGTCATCCATACAAGAGCAACGCACACTACTGTGAGAAATAGAAGCAATCATAGGCCAACTAGTGCAAAAAGGTGAAAATGGACAATCAGCCCACGTATCAAAGGCTGCTTTCGAAATTTCCGGTGGGGATCCGACGTAAAGTTCTCCATGAAAAATCACTTTTCCCGACGAACCATTCACTATGCAGCAACTTTTAAAACATTTTGAAGAGGTTATAACCTGCGAAGAACTGATATGTCGCTAGACCAGCTCAACTCCTCTTCGAGATACATTTAGCTTCGACAACAAAGTCAAACATTGGAAGTCGCAGACAACAAAGCTCCTGTGTATGTATTGTAAAGGCAACCATAGGCCTTTCTACTGCAGCAAATACGAAACACCTTAAAGAAGATACCAGTGCCTTTAAAATAATAAGCTATGCCATATTTGCGCCTCCTCATCCCACAACACAGTTCAGTGCAACGGGTCGTCATGCCGTAAGTGCCAAAAACGTCACCACACATCATGCTGTTTTCTTCAGCACTAGAACAGTAGACGTTCCTAGCATCTGCGAGGAATACGAATGCCAAAAGGCCAACGCCAGTAAATACAATGAAAAAGAGCATAAGAAGCCCACTTCTATACCCAAAATAAACGACGTCGGACAAGAGACACCGGCCGAAGAAAAAATTTCTATGAGATCAAGCACAAAACTGCACTCAACTTTCCTACCCACAGGAGAATTGACTATAATGAAACCAACCACAAAACAACTAGAGAAAGTTTCCGTCTTACTGGACACAGAAGCCGAGTTATCCTTCATCGAAGAGAAACTTGCACGAAAGCTCTGTCTACCGACGATAGATGAAATTAAACTACGACTAAACACATTCGGCTCAAACATTGTGCAGGAACGTATTTCACGAAAGGTACCACGACAGGTATGGGACCCGGACGGCCATCAAATATCATTATTCTTGTTCACACATAACGCGATAACGAAGCCGCTCAAACCTTTACCAATTTGTCCGGAACACGTAGACTTTATTATAAAAACAACCTCCAGATTGAGATAAATAAAACCAGGCTCGTGGTCCAACCTTCCATTCTACTCGGATGCGACCAACAATGGACCCTGATGAAAACGATAAGACACACATTGAACTACCATCCGGGCTACATCTTATTCCGACATGTCTAGGTCATTTATGTACAGTACAACTCAAAATCCTCCTTCGCTACAAAAAGAAGGCGACAATGTGTTGTTACAAGCACAACAGAGCGAAGAAGGAAACATATTGCACATAAATGATTTCAAAGATAAACTAGACAGATGGGATCAATACTGGACACTACACGTACAAGTTGACGAAGATGAACTTTCATTACAGCAAACACAAAGCGAACCTTTATTACAGCAAAGATAAAGAGACCAGCAACTCGAGACAAGAGCGCCACAACCAACTAAATAACACTAATTACCAATGGGAGAAAACAACACAACAGAAGTCACAGAAATTAACTTCCACAAAGCGAACAGGTGCATAGAATTTACGACGCCAGCAACGAATGGATTACAAGAAGCTTCTCTACTCCCCATTAGCAACAACTCCAAATGTTTCACTGGTCCTTAACATTCTATCCCTCTTAGCTATTCTTGGACAATGCTCAGCAGCAAATTCGTATCGGTATACCAACTTCCGCCATATAAAATGCTTCAACGGAGGAATACAACTCACTTCACCTGGTAACACCGCTTACGAAGTATGTGCAGACGGTAGCTGTAAAACGTTGGAAGCACCAGAATCCAACGACGTAGTCAATCTTCTACCTCATATAATTCTTCATGAGCACAAAATTCAATGGAAACTCGCTGATAATCAATCAATCGACATTATTGGAACAACATGTCCACCTCCACCATTCTGCGAGCACCTCAACTGTGTTCTGTGTGAGGAGCTAATTTTCAATCCCGAATGCTGGCCAGCAGGTGCAAAACTGGCATCAGCAATTGCTATTTATTGCATTATTACCGGCTGCTAAGTACTACTACACATACCACTCGCTCTCGGAAAACCAGTACGAGTAATATTTCGCTTTATTTGGTATGCAATACGATTGGCAATCACCACTCTAAATCGGAAAATCAGAAGACCTCGCTCCACCACGCATCACAACATTAAACTCAGCAACTTGATGATGATTGCAATGTCACTTATGCTCACATTTAACAGTTATCAACAGGTAAATCTATTTTCCCATATAACCACACTCTGCAGGCAAGAACAGAGAGGCCAATTTTGGACGTCCAGCTTCGAAGTCTTAAAATTATGCATTGGTGTTTCAGTGGCAAAATGTTCGCCTGCCACGCGGGGACCCGGATTCGATTCCCTGCCTATCCACCAGCTCGCCTTTGTCTATGCCACGCAGGCCATTTTGCGATTTAGCAGCCACAATGCCGAACACCACAAACTTGGGTAATTCATCAAAATTATACAACAATTATGGCATAACAATGCAACTGCGCAATTGATAAAACAATGGTTGGAGTAATAAATTGGCACAACCTGATCACTGGTGGTCCACGGTCCACGCTGCTTATGAGTGAGGAGGTTATCATATGAATTCTACGACATGAGATGGATGTGAGGAAAGGGCACGGTGACTTGGGCAGCATTGCTATGAACTGAACGAGCTAACCGAGGAGCGATTTGTATACTTTTTCTGATGGGTGGAGTCAGGCTACAGTAGACGGAAAGACGGTTTGCCACTAAGAGGTGTTGGAAACATTTCTCAAGTATTTCAATCTGATAAGGTGATATTCAAAGCATAGGACTGCAACCACAGATGAGATAACAGCCTAGGAAGTGTTAAACATAAGGTTGTCAGATCGTCATGGGAAACAGCGTTCGAGATGTTTTACATAGAAAGCACTCCGTTAAGAACGTTTTCTATAGCACATGTTGGTAAGTCAGTATTGAGTTGAGAGATAACTGATAGTTTAACCCAGCCTCTCGTGCCATTTTAACCCCTTCGCTGTTTAACTTTCGGAATTGACTTTTAAATTCCTTCTTAGACGACGGACGGTAAAGAGAAGCATCTTCAAGGTGCTCTTGCGTTATCTCAGCTTCTAACTGATGAGGAATTACAACGAACTCTCCACCGTTATCATTAACCGATAGTCTTGTGTTTTTCGATCTTATCAGCTCTCGTACCTCTCGCATACCACGTTTTTGTATTTTAGAGAGGTTGGAGCAGTATCTGTTGGCGCGATAGTGATTGAGGACTTTGAAAGTTTCATTCGCAAACGTCCGAAGTTTAGCGTCAACTTCATTATTATACGCGGGACGAATACGCTGGCGAAACTCTGCGCTTGTATAGAAAAACATCTAGTCGGCAAACGTAAACGAAGTACTCCACTAGGCACGCATAGGACGCAGAGAGATAGCGGAGAAGATTTTCAGGTACGGGTTACGATCCTCGCGCAAGAATTGAGAAGACAAGCGCGCAAAACTTTTGAGCCATTCTGAATTGATATCACGGATCCGAAAATGAACCGCAGGGAGGAATGCCTCATTATTACGTGTGTTATGTGACGGGCAGTATATAAGCCTGTTATTTTGATGAGATGGGCACAATACGATTCCGTGATAACTCTGTGCGGTTGGTCCCCACGAGACATATTTAGTGGAAGACTCATAGAAAGCGGCGAGTGTGCAAAGACTTTGTGTTCTATGTGATTGAAATTTTGGTTCAGCATTTTCCCTGTTTGGTTATGGAGGTGTTTGGCCGTGTAGATTTCAGTCAGCTTGACTTTTCTAGGCTCTGAGAAAGGCGAAATCCGCCGAAACGTCAGCTTGTAAGTAAGTAAGGAAATAAAATAACACCAGGTGTTTGCTAAACAGAAGTAAAAAGAATTGTTCAATCAATGTCGAGGTTAACAAAAAGTCAGCCGTGGGAGTTAGTGCAAAATATGTAATTTTAATTTTAGTTCATCATCAAGAATTTTATACGAAACTTTGTGGAAATGAGAAACAATGCAATTATTGAATTGTTCGCCAAATACCATGGATGAATAGAAATTTATAAATACTACTGAAGACATTTAAAACCCGATAACCCACAACCCTCACAAACACGGTTTTCGTTTCCACACTGGAATCTAACAAATCTAGACAGTATTTTTTACCTGCAAAACAATACTTTAAAAAACATAATGATAGGCTTTTCATCCGTAGTGCCCTCAATTTACTGCTGTTCCGACCACAAAACCAAAATCGGCACCTGTTGATCCGGCTTGTGCACAGGACACCTAAAATTAATCATTTACGTTGTCATCCGTTATCAGCATTGTTCTGTACTTGGTAATGAAGTCGAATTGCTATGCTGAGAAAAAGTAAATGATTGTTTTTCGTTGGGTAAAATGTGAATTCGTAGAACCTCTACAGTAGGGAGCTGCTTCATTCTATGTCCATCATTCTCTCTCGCATTACTTGTCATCTCCACTTTTCACCACGATGCTAACAGTTTAATAAAACATCAAGTGTCAAAAATAGGATCGGATGTAAAAGTTAAGAACGAAATTCACTGATTTCATTACGAGCAAACATGATGTTGTTATTTGACTCTTTATTCACAAAACTAGCTGAGGCTTCGGCAGCTTTCGCCTTCTTCAGAGCCTGGAAAGATCAAGTTGACTACAATCTACCCAGCCAAGCACCTCCATAACGAACATAGAAGATACGAAGCCATTACTTCAATTGCATTGGAAACAAAT